TTATTGGATGAATGGCATTCACATACCAAAAAATCATGGTAAATTACAAAAATTATTGGCAATAATAATAAATTTCAGAATGTTAGTTAACCTGAAGCAGTTCCCAACCAGCACCATTACTGAGATCCAGAAATTTGACAGCTTCTAGCAAGCGGTCATCGGCTAAACAATACCTGCCAAAATAAGAATAATGAAAACATTAAAGAAAGGTAAATAGGAGGTGCTGCACTAAAGGTATACTGAATGAGAGAGAGAGAGAAAATAAAAAAAAAGGAATTGATGATAGGCAGTGGATATGCCCACAAGGTCCAAAGGCAACAGGCAAGGCTAGGCTATTGATTCTGCAACATGATGTTGACAAATAATTTTGAATCCATGTAATGGGGTTTCAGTTTCTCACAACTCAGGAAGAGTAACTGAAGTTTATCACGCTAAATCAATCCAAGCTGATTTACATCAAAAACAGAAACACCAGATAAATGGTTAGCAATCTTCATATGACCCTTTAGTTCCATGATGCCCTATTTCCATTTTAATCTGAACAAACAAATATATGAATCTTCTGAGTTTGCACATAAAGTATTTACTCGATAAAAGGCTATAAATTAGGATCCTTATCATGAAAACATATGCATGGAACTAGAACTAATCATTCTTATATAAATTGCCAAAGAAGCTCATTTTCATTGCCATGAATGGATGATGAACCATTGAACCTTATATTCTCAATATTGGCAAAGAACTGCACAAGGGGTGGGGCTGATTGGCATCATGTCATCCTTTTTTTGTGTTTAGACAGTGCACAGAGATCAGTGGCAACAGATCATATTTATTGGTTACTAGAGTAACATGGAAAACCTCCCAATTATAATTATAATATTCTAAGGGAAAAGTGTTTTGCAGGTTGTTCTCCTAAATATTTTTTGGAGGATAGGTCTAAAAACTCTTCTTCTTATTAATATTTTTAAAAACCAACGGTTGGATTGAATGTTCTATTCATATAATTTTCAAATTCTTCTAATAGGTCTAACCACTTCATTGGTTATAGGAAATTTAACACTGTTATATATATATATACACACACATATATATCAGTAAATAGAGTTTCTTTGATCAAAGGGTTATAAGTGTTAGATCAATATGAAAATTGGCATGCATAATCTACATGAATAGAATTTTCAATCCAACAATTGGTTTTTGAAAATATTAATTAGAAGATAAGTTTTTAGACAAGTCCTCCAAAAAATATTTTAAAAGGATGACTTGCCCTACACTATCCTCATATTCTAATTCTGAGAAAACTACTTTTGTGGTCTGGTTCTGAACTTAGGTCTCTTACATTGGAAGAATGAGATGCATTCCAACTCAAGGGTAAGCTACCACAAAATGCATTAAAATATGTAGGGGAAGTAATAAGGTGATGGTTTTATATTGATTTCATTATCTTAATATATGACTGAAGGAACGATATACAGTACAACAATAAGTACCATGAGTGAATAATGTAAAATGGCATATCTTACTCTCTTGTTGCCATTACATCAAGTTGGAAAGTGCTTTCCAAAAGCCGCTGTGAATTCATCCACAAATGAAGAGATAAATCAGACAGATATTCACATCATTTTGAAGTGGTTCTCTTTTTGGTCTCTTTTTTTTTTTTTTTTTTTTTTTTTTTTTTTTTTTGGGGGGGGGGGGGGTTGGTGTGGGGAGTGGGCGGGAGAGGAAAAAGGACAAAAGCAATTTTCAATAATAAAGTAACTATCAACAGACACTCACTTGCAAAGAAAGGCTATCCATGGTTCCTGCTTCACAAAATGGAACAAAAGCCAAGTATGCAAAAAGAAGACCCGCTTCATATCTGGCTAGGAACAAAAGGAAATTAGTCCATGATATGAAAAGTGGATAAACAATGTTACTCGTAAAATGAACCCAAAATTTGGATTTTAGACACTACATATCATCTGCAATTCCAAAGGCTCTTTTCTCCATAGGTGTGACAGCACCAGCAGCAACTGCTCTCCTCCAAAGTCCCTCTGAAAGTCTTCCTGGATCTTCTTCCAAATTTGAAAAGCTAAGGAAACAGAAAGCCAATCTTACAGGCTATATGATGGCATTAAGTTAAAATAATTATGAAAGAAACCATGCATCATTCATAGTCCACAAGTTTCCCTTAATTGTTGTTTTTCCAACTTAACACGAATCCTCCAACATGAACATCATCCCTGCAAATTGGCTAACAACCATGCTCCCCAGCCACTCTCAACCTCCCCTGGATAGTGCTAGCAGCTTCCAACAACCTCCCCTGGATTGGACACTAAATGGTCTCAACAGAAAATAGGGCCTGGGTGTTGATACTATGTGCACAACCAACCTAAAACTGATTGAAAATAAGTGGAGTAGCGCCTATTATATGAAGTCCAAAAGTTTCTCCTTAATTAACTGATATGGGATTTTCCCCCCTTAACACTAGAGAACCAACAATAAAAGAAAGCCATAACATTTTTGCAGGATACATTGTAATGATATGATTCCTGATAGGCTCTATTATGTATTGTTGTTCCCTCAAAAATATTTGAAACAAGTTCTTGATAATTCCAACATAACTGAGACTTCAGTTAGGAGATATCATATGAGCACAAAATTTCAGCCCATTCATTACTTAAAGATATGAGAAATGGTGAACTTGTTAGAAAGGCAACTGCATGAGCTCATGCAATACACAATATAAGAATCTTAATAAAAAAACAAAGCTAAAAATTAGTTTTAAACACATATGTAGAAGATATTTTTTTGTGTGAAGAGAACAGCCATACCTGATGTCAACAGAAAAGGCTAGATCCCGAACTCTTGGTACTAAGTAAGTAGCATCACTCTCTATTATGGTACTGCCATTAAAAAGGAAAAAAAGACAAACAGAACATCATGAAGTGAAAAGAGATGATATGCTGTTGATAACAAATCTAATTTTTCTGATAAAATAGGAATACAAACATAAATATAAATATCATGCAATTAAATGGATATCTTAACACATACTTGAGAACAACAGAAGCTGGTCCAAGACTCTGATGCAATCTATCATGATTATGCATGTAGGCTAATCCACTCATGGCACCTTGGAGTATCTTAACAACAAAATGCCTTCTGCTTTTAATTGTTTGGTTCTGCTCAGAAGGACCAAGTGACTTTTCTCCTAGAGAGCGAGTTCTTGATATTTGGTTGCTTGTAATTTTTGCATAATCTGCCGCACTATACTTTCCATCATTACGAAAAGCAAGCCACTGTATGAAATAAAGAAATTCAATTTGAATATACCAAAAGGAAAAAAAAGCTCATATAGCTTTTATGGAAATGACAGACCTGTTCCCCGGTTTTTGTCTCAAATCCACCAAGAAGTAATAGGATATTCTTACATATACCTCTTGGACTGCTCTGTAAAAGTCATATAGACAAGATTAATTAGAATTCTAGAATTCTGCTTCACACCTCATACTGATCTGTTGAAAACTTACTTTCTCACTAAATCTTACCTGGAGGAATGCATGAGTATTGAGTTCATTGGCAGCCATTATATCAGCCTCAACACCACCACCTTGTTTCCCAGGATAAACCTTCAAAGTTTAACAATAATGAATTTGAGGAAAGAGAATCTAATTAAACTAAACTAATTAAGCAACTTTTTCAATACATTGAATATAAATTATAAAATAAAGGAATGCCTTTTCTCTTTTCAGATTAGTCTCAACATATACAGCAAAACTAAGAGGATTCATCCAGTTGTATCTCTGTATATCAGAGAACAAATAAATAGGAATAAAAAAGGAATTCCTTAAAAAATTTCTTAACTGCTTAAAGAAGAGGCTAATGGGAAAGAAAAGATATTCGTTACATAATTTCAGAGAAGGCTCAACAATAAGTTTATGAAGAAAGGATCCAGCAATACTTTTCAATTTCTGAGGAGGGGAAAGTTAATGTATTTTACAAATTAATCTGCTATGTAGCTTATCTTTGGCCATCCTAGCTGCTAAAGATTTACAATATTCATGGGCCATCATCGCCTGACAGCTTAAGCTTTTTGGTGAAAAAGTTCTCGTCATGGTATCAGAGCTGACAAAGTAGTCTAGCGTCCAAACCCACAAAACCCCATTCTTGTCTCTTTTAAAATGAATTTAAAGCACATAAAATCAAGGCTTCTCTCTCTGCCAATTAGTCCCATTCCAAGTTAATAATCACGTAAATTGTTCATGTTCCTTGGTAGAGAAGTATTTTAACATGAGGCAACATCAATCAAATAGCATACACGCACAAAACAAGCAGAAGAAACAGACTAACCGCAGTATAGCTCCCTCAAAAATGTTCTCTTTTTTTTTTTCCCTGGTTCCCTCTTTTTCTCTATAAATGACACTAAAAATTTTGGGGATTAATCTGAGGGCACATCAATAAAATAAACACTAAAAAATTTTAGCAAACAGAATATAATCGGCGGAAACATAATATAATATGACCTTAAAGATCACAGGAGTCCCCTTAAGCAGGCCCTGAGCTATTCTTCCTTCATAAAGCCTGCAAATG